CCCCAAAACCCCAAAACCCCAAAACCCCAAAACCCCATGCGAGGAATATAAAAAAATTGGACAAAAAGCTTTCAATAAATTAATACATAGTCTATTTCTTATAATCAAACAATATTTGAGTGAGCGAGAGTGCTAAAGGAAACTAGAAAATCCTAATTATTTAAAGTTGTTCACATAATATATTTTGATTTCTTAGTTTCTCTTCCTAAATTGTCAATGTCCATTCTCTTTCTCTCATAATACTGAAGATATTCATCTATGCTATCAAATTCATGAGTTTCTAATTTTAGAATTAAGCTTTAATCAATATTCTTACTCGGATAATACTGTTTAAAATGTCTGGTAGCATTTTTTAATTCTTAAAACTTATCAGAATCAAGTTTAGAATAAAATCTCTTCGCGAAAGGTATCACTTATTTCCTTAACTTATGGAGGCCAACCCCTCCAAATTCTTGATAATATCTTTCATACATCTCAAGCACTATTTTATAGACAATGTAATCCTATTAATCAGGTTATACTAGTTATTAAAATCACTTACATCTTTGTGAGTGAAGTAATTCTCGATCGATTATCTTAATTCTCTTAAAGATGGGAAAGTTGAAACGAGTAAATCCACTTTTATCTTTGAGTCTAAATCTCTCTTGGCTAAACTTATGTTGTAATTGAAAAAGTCCAATGTCAAGGTCAAGAATTTCAGTTCATAGTACTTTCCTCCATCTTCCTCTCTCTTTGCCTCATTAAGTGAATTACTAGTTGTGCAACTTAATAAACGCAAGTCTCTTATATCAGTTCTTTCTTTGCATAATTTACCGATTCGATAGTAAAGTAAACAGGCTAATGAACCAAAAGCCTTCATGATTGAGAACATCATCTAGTTATCCTTCTCGAGGATCTCTAACCAGAATTCAGGAATAGTTTTCCTAAAGAAACTCATGGGCTTTATTGGGGATAATCTTGGTCCTCTGCTGCTTTATAACACACTTCGATTTGTATTCTCAAGAATCAAACTTTGAGTTGGAATATGTTCAGGCTAAGTTTCTTCTTCAGCTGCGGTCTAATCTCTCCCTAATTATTCTTACTCCAGCAGCATATTTGCGATTTACTAGGCATATCGCTAGACGTTTAATTCATGATCCGTTTACTGCTAGTCTTCCTGCTCGTCCTCATCAAGAACTTGTAAAGCATTCCTTGGTCGTCTAGGCCTCAGATTACTGAAGTAACCTCGGTGGTACTCTCTTCGCTAACTTATTTCAGTCTAATTATCATTGCTTAGACCTTAAGAATGAGGCATTTGCTCACTTTATCCTGAAATTACACCTCCAATACCTTCTTCACTCTATCTGTGATTCGCTCTCTCTGAAAGATTATGGTGCTAATATGGTCTAATTGGAGTGGTTGAATTTCTGGCAGAAGATGCAAGGAGTTCCATTGTATCACCATTTACATTGTGATGAATATTCTCATTGGCATTGTGTAATTGTTGATGTTAATCAAGCCTCCACTCATTTGCCTCCGAGTGATAGGTCAAATTAGACTAGAGGGTCCTAATCAAATGGGAAGCGTGAGGAGTAGAAGTGTCCTAACTAGATGGTATGTCCATATCTTGCAAACTTAAACTTAGTTATCTAAAACTCTATTAAAATAATTACTTTTTATGTTTAAATTACATTTATTCTTTGTATTAGATCATTAATATTATTTCTTTACCTCGCCTGCAATCTATTAAGTTCTCTCATTTATCTTCTCAATCTCTAAGCTTTTCTTTAATTGTTTCCTAATTATTAAACTTATTTTTGCTATAGAATAAGTTCTTTGTATTCCTCTTATATTTGTTAAAGTCTTGAATTGTAAATCATATTTCTGAGAATATCAAACATCATCATTAAGATGAAGCCTAAAACGAATGCAACAATAAGCAAATTAACGAACTTAAAGATTGTCATAAATATGAAATGATGATCATTCAGAAATTTCAACCTTTCCTCTGTTGATAACTTGTTATATCTTTTTATAATGGGTATTGGCAAGGTAGATTGATTCGGAGAGAGCAACCAAAATTAATCTAGGAGGCAAACATTATCCAGACTTTAAAATGGGTTTTACATTAATTTAATTAAATATCGCTATTTTATTAGATCAATCAATCAATGATTGACGGGGTTTTGGGGTTTTGGGGTTTTGGGG